CTTAACTTCTTTGTGCATGCTTCTGTTGTTGTTGTTGTGTGCCTCCAAGTCATTTTCAACTTATGGCGACCCTAAGGCAACCCTAGCATGGGTTTTTCTTGGCAAGATTTGTTCACGGGGTTTTGCCATGGCCATCCGCTGAGGCTGAGAGAGTATGACTTGCTAAAGGGCACCCAGTGGGTTTGTATGCTCGAGCGGAGAATCGAACCCTGATCTCCAGAGTCCAATGCTCAAACCACCACCACCATCCCACGCTGGCCCTCGATATTGGGGTTGCACCTGGCCTCAAAACAAGAGGAAGGGAAGTTTTCTTGGCAAGGTTTGTTCAGAGGAGGTTTTGCCATTGCCTCCCCCTAAAACCAGGTTCAACCCCAAAATTGAGAGCCAGCATAGGGTGGTGGTCTGAGCACCTCTGTTCTAATATTTCAACATCAAAAGTGCCTCTTCATCTGTAATCTTTCCCCCCCAGGTATAAAGCAGAAAAAGTTCCCAGCTTAAAAAAAAATAACTTAATTTTTTAACTTAAAAGTATATAATTTGGCAAGCACCCTTGAGGAGGCTGGAGAGGGAAGAAGCAGCAACTGGTCATGTATAAAATATCATATGAGACAGAAAGACAGCCACTCCCTAACTGCTTATGAAAAGTTGGTGAATCTGCATTTAGGAAAGCCAGATCCTGCAATTATTAAACAAATATCACCCAACTCTTTGTCTATGGAAACATACCACCTTTTTCCCACAAAACAATCACCACTTCTTCGTGTATTTCTACTTCTGTCTCCATTCCAAATACCTAAACGCTAGAAGGAAAGCGACTCAAAGTTATTCGTTCCCAATTTGGAATAATTCCTTATTTGGCTGACAACTCCCAGAATCCCCCAACCAGCATCTGAATTGTCAACCAAAAAAGTAACTTGCCCAAGCTCTGGTTAGGATGCACAGGCAAAGGTCGGGTGTGTAAACTTCATGTGGAACTATAAGAGCCAGTTTAATTTAAATGAAATTCTCTTAGGCTGCATCTGCACTGCAGAAATAATCCCATTTGATACCACTTTACCTGTCATGGCTATGGAATTCTGGAAACTAGTTTTGTGAGGCATTTAGCCTTCTCTGTCAGAGAGCTCTGGTGCCACAACAAACTAGAATTCCCAGAATCTTATAGCATTGAGCCGTGGCAGGTAAAGTGGTGTCAAACTGGATTATTTCTGCAGTGTGGAGTTGGGCTTAAATATAGGTGAAAAAGAGCCAGTGTGGTGTAGTGGCTTGAGTGTTGGGCTGTAACTCTGGAGACCAGAATTCAATTCCTAGCTTGGACATGAAACCCACCTTGGACAATTCACATATTCTCAGCCGCAGAGGAAAGCAATGGCAAACCTCCTCGACTTGAAGGCACAGAACACACACAAAGTGAAAAAGAAAAATGCAGGAGAGTCCTTTGTAGGGGGAAAAAACCACCTGTTCCATGTTTTTTGGTGGCCATAGGGGGATAAAAGGCTAGTGCCAGGTGTTGCCCATGGCCTTCCCTCATCCCTATGGCAAAACATGGTATGTGGAATAAAGGTATCACTCACGCACATCACTCTCAAGAAATTACAAGGAGCCTTGGGGACTCGGTCGGTGCCAAAACAGAGATGAGATCATTTTCATCAGGTGTTTCAGACAAAGCTGGTAATCACCTCTGGAGAGCCAGACAGACCAAGAGGGATCGGATCATGCGCTCGCTCTAAGGATGCCCCATGGCTAACCAGAGTCCAAGCCCGGCTGTATCTATACTGCACCATTAAAGCTGTTTGGTGCCACTTTGACTGCCCTAGCTCCATTTCATGGAACCCTGGGATTTGTCGTTTGCTGAAGGACCCAGAATCCACTGGCATAGAACTCTAGTGCTGTGGTTCTTCTCAAACTCTGGTCCTCCAAAAGCTTTGGACCTCAACCCACTCAAGCTCTAGCCGGTTTAGTCAATGATCAAAGATACTGGGAGAGAAAATCCAAAACATCTGGAAGACCAAAGGCTGTGCATTTCTCAAAGTACAGCACTAGACCTCTCCAACAGAGAATTCCAAGTACCTTGTTGCTCTAATTGTTGCTTTTGTGAATTTCAATTTGTTTCCAACTTTGTTTGTTGTTGTTGTGCACTTTCAAGTTGTTTCCGACTTATGCAGCCTCTATCATGGGGTTTTCTTGGCAAGATTTGTTCAGAGGAGGTTTGCCATTGCCTTCCCCCTGAGGCTGAGAAAGTGTGACTTGCCCAAGGTCACCCAGTGGTTTTCCATGGCATAGCAGAGATTTGAACCCTGGTCTCCCAGAGTCATAGCACAGTATTCAAACCACTACATTATGCTAGTTCTCTCAAAGTACAGTCAGCCCTCCATATCCATGGATTCTTTATTGACGGACTCTACTATCCACAAATATATAAATTCCATAAAGAAAAGCCTTGATTTTGCTAGTTTACATAAGGCACACCATTTTACTATGCTATTGCATTTAATGGGACTTGAACATCTACAGATTTTGGTATCCACGAAGGGGTCCTGGAACCAAACCCCAGCGATAGCAAGGCTGCATTGTACCTTACCAATCTACAAATCCCAGGATACTATAGGGAGGAACCTTGGCGACTGAAGTGGTATCAAAGTGCTATTACTATATGGTGTAGCTATACCCATCAGAGACACCGGAGTAAGACACAGATGCTTGCCATGCAGAAAGATGTCATGAAAGCCAAAGTTCCCCTAGATGAATCGACTCCATCTCATAAAAGCAAGATTTATTTGCTGTAGACAAGCTCTGCTTGGCGGAACTGACTGATTCATTGAAAGCCCCTGTGTTTATGCTAGGTTAGGCACCCAGCCCCAGTGGCAAAACGGAAAAAGGAGAAAAAAGCCAGGGAGAGTGATTCAGACAAAGGCAAAGTCCCTCCCATCGGCCACAAGTCCCTTTGTGCCTTCATCTTTTAAAAGCCTCCCATCCATCATGAGGTTTTCTAGGAGCCTAGTGGATAGAAGACAGATGCCTTTATTCGTGATGAAATCATGGCTTTGTAAAAAGCAAACAAACACACCGACGGGCAGAAACCAGACATCCAACCCCACTAAAATGTATGGAACAGATAGAGTAGCTGACGGTCCTAAACTCCGTCATCCAGATTTTTGCAGCATGCGCTTTTCCATAAAGAATCAGATGTTCTGGCTGTTCAAAGCAGGTTGCATTTATTGGGCACAACCCTGGAAAGTAGACCGGTGCTTCAGTGCCATCAACAGTCCCACTAAATCCATTGCAAAATGGTAAGTCAAGATCTACAGAAATCCCATTGATTCCATGGGACCTGAATCCCAAATCTGAATCTCCATTTGGGAGAAAGGCAGGATATAAATCCCATAAATAAATAAAATGGGTGTACTCCAGTTGGAACCAGCAATTGGATTTAGGCACACTATTATTACACCCATATTGCAGTGTGTATGTGTGGGGTGTGTATGTTACAAGACGAAGACTTACCAAAGCCAAATGATGAGTTCATGGGTCAAAGGCAAAACAGGGACTGCTCAGTTTAAACTCTTGGGGTTAAATTACATGTTACTTTAAAGAAATAACTATCACATATGTCTATTTTTCCCTTTTTTAATTTAGGGGGGTCCTGATTTTTAATGGGACCCTTCACTCAAAAGAAAGAGGATGGGTTTAATCTTCCTCTGCCCACCGAATATTATACTGATAACTACCCCCCCCCCATAACTAGAGGCTGTGGGGGGAGCTTCCCTTGGTGCAAATGGGTACTTTCCTTCTTTAAACCCTATAAGAAGGCTGCCTTGAATCCCATTCTGGGAGAAAGGCAGGATATAAATCCCATCAATAAATAAACAGGAATGGGATTATTGTGGCTGTAGAGCAGGGGCAGGAATGGTGTGGCACTCCAGACCTTGATGGAATGCAACACCCAGCATTCCTCATCGCTGGCTATGTTGGCTACAATTGCTGGGAGTTGCAGTGCAACAGGAGGGACACACAATTTCTACCCTGGCAGGGGAGTAACAATTGCCTGCAAGGGAGTGACAATAGGGAGAGCCAATGTGGTGTAGTGGTTTGAATGTTGGTCTACAACTCTGGAGCTCTGGGTTCGAGTCCCTGCTCTGCCATGAAAACCCACTGGGTGACCTTGGGCAAGTCACATGCTCTCAGCCTCAAGTGAAGGCAATGGCAAACCTCCTCAACAAATCTTGCCAAGAAAACCCCATGATAAGGTCACCATAAGTTGGAAACAACTTGAAGGCACACAACAGAGTGACAATAGGAATCAGTAATGAATAAATCAAATGATTATGTAGCTGTTAGTTACTGCTTTGAAATAACATGCAGCTTGACCACTAGCCCCAGCAATTCTACAGGGAAGGATCAGAAGGTGTACCTGGAAGGGAAGACTTTCATGGAAAAACAAGACAAATAGAAAGTAATTTTCCAACAAGCAATTTCATTTTGCACAGAAGGCACACACTAGCCGCTAATACACAAGTCACAAGCCAATCTGATGAAAGGAGTGAGAAGGTACGATATCCAGCCCCCAATTTGGCTAAAGGAGGGATATAAATAACTTATTATTATTATTATTATTATTATTATTATTATTATTATTATTATTATTATAGAAATCGATTAGCTCCTTAAGTGTGGAAGCAAAATCTGCCTTCACCCACAAGTGCACATTCCATACTTGATGACCTGCATGTGCGAATGCACAAGAAGTTTCAAATGCAGTATTTTTCAGCAGAAACAATTCATGCACTAAACTACCGGTCACCAAGGCTACAGGAACCGAGTGATGAAAATCCAATTTTATACACACATACACACAACAAGTTTCATTCTTCTCCAAATCTGGGGGGAAATGTTTTAGCACACATCCTACCTTCCTAATTTTTCTTCCATCTTTTATCTCCCAAAGGACGCTCCTAGCAGATCAGTCTAACACAGACTTGATGCCCTTCAAATATGTTGGCATGGCCAACCTGTCATGAGCCGGGCCAACGTGTCTCTCTTGCCTAATTTCAAATGCTTGGTGATATAGAGTTACTTGTTGGGTTACAAACACAAACACACACACACACACACCCCAATGCAGCAGAGCGAATGACTAGAATGGGGAGTTCTGGGAGATGCAGTCCAAAAAGTATCATTTCCCGGTGCTGGTTGCAAGTTCTGACAAGAGAAATCTGTCTTCCCTTCTGCAGGCCACTGGACAAGAAAGAAGATGGGGAAAGAAAAAGAAAAAGTTGGGTGGCACAGAAAGAGAATAAACAAATACATTGGCCCTGATCCCGATATTCCCTGAGGGAATATAGCCTGTTCTTCTCAGTGTTGCTCAACTTCACAGACCAAACACGCCATATGCTATGATGAAGGCAAGAAGAGGAGAGGCACCACATGCACAACAACTCTGTGTCTTGTTGCAATTGCAATGCAGGGGCAACCAATTCTTCAGTCAGTTGGGACACTGCCCATCCCATGCTCTTCCCAACCAGCAGCAAGGGATACGAAAGGTACTTAGATCTTGCAAGGGAGGAGGTTGGGTAGCTAACTAACAGTTGGCTCCATTATTGGTGGCCCCTTGGCTCCATCCATGGTGGCACTGCCCATGGTGCTGCATCCACCTGGCCCTGTGAGCATCTGCCATCATTGCTCCAAGAGATATGGCAAGTACAAGGGAAGAAGAAAGACTCCTTGGAATAAAAGAGAAATAGACACATCCAAATTGGTGCAATTGCAAGGAAAGCCCATCTCAAGGTGGAGTCTGACATCAGCAGAGAAATGGCAAAAGGAGGAGACATAGGAGACTCAAATGTCTTGCTTTTACTAACAAAGTATGGGACGTATTCAAAAATGGCTTTGAGCCTGCACAAAGTACAAGATGAGGGTATCTTTCCCCCAAATCCTCCTTACTTTCTGCTGCTCTCTATCCCATTTCTCATATAGTTTCAGGATAGATGTGTAGCTTTGAGAGAGACCCACTGTCATTCTATTTTATGAAATGCAAAGAATTACATAAAGAGACAGAGAATCCCCTTCAAAATCCTCTGTTTCATATCACACCCTCCTCTGCCTTATTTTAGGATGAATCAAATTATTCTGTTGTAAAAACAAACCAGGAAAAAATGCCTAGTCTGTTCAGTCAGCACAATGAAATGAGAAGAACAGACTATATTGCTTCAGACAGCAGATCAGGGAAAATAAAGAAGACCATCGAGAGAAAATAAAAACCCTAGCATAACAGAGTGCAAGCAGGGCTGGACTATCTGTCATTATTATTATTTTGTACACAAGGGATCATTTGAAAGAGTGTACACACATACCCCATTTGTAGTCCGAGATGGAACAAACTGCTCTGCTTCTTTAGGGTTTTAACCACCTCATTCTATTGCGCTGGTAGATCAAGCCATCCTCCTAAATATAATTAAGTCTATAATGTTTGATCATACTCCAAGTACAGCTTAATGGCCCACCAGCCTGTCACTAGGCAGGATTTCCCCCCTGCCCCATCTTCCAAATTTAGTTCAGATCCGTTGCATCAAGTTATCCATTATCCCAACATCCCACAGTTTATTAATCCCATCTGTCTCTTTCGACAGTCACATCAACTTCCACTGTGGCGCTGTGATCGCCCTTGCAGTAAACATCATACTTTGAGCCATGTTTTGAAGAGCAAACAAACTGATTGCCATCGACAGCAGTTGAATTTTAACAAAAAGGCTGCAATTTCTACCATGTTTTTTCACTGATGCGAGGATCACCTAGTTCGCCTGCAGCCAGCAAATCCATCTCCTTTCCTCTTCCTTTTTATAGCCATTTCATCATTCCAGATATTAAATACCCCAAAGGGAATGCCATTCTAAAAGTTTCCCCTTAAAACTAACACTTAAGGACGTTGACGCTGGGCTTGTCCATCAACACTTCATTTAAAGTACATTATTCTAAAAGTATATTCTGTTGTTGAAAAAGACATCTTGCTTCTTGGTTGAGACTGAGAAAGCTGTTGTGTAATATCCAAGGGCTGCCCTTGAAAAGATCCTATAAAGTTTCCAGTAATAGGGCAGTCTTTGTTTAATGCTATTAAATGCTATTAATTTAAGGATATCACCAAAGATGGGGATGTTTTCAGGAGTGTCAGTGAAGCCAGATAGAGCCAGCATGGTATAGTGGGTTGGACAGCAGTTCAAAAGACCAGGGCTTGAATCCTTCCTCAGCCACACAAACTCACTGGGTGACTTTGGGCAAGTCACACTCTCTCAGCCTTAGAAGAAGACCATTGCAAAGCTCTTCTGAATAATAAAGCTTATGGGGAAAAAATCCTATGTAGAGTAGCCATAAACCAAAGACGTATTATAGCAGCAGCAGCAGAGCATACAATCCAAGAAGCAGATCTTCTTAAAAATTGCCAGAGAGGACAGATCCAGATTATACACCACTGGGTCAGATCCAAGCATTTGGCATCCCCTGAAACATTGAAAAGAGTTGTGGGGTTGTCCAGTCCAATCGCATGGTCAGCCACTTAGGTCATCTTGCCCAGTTCTAAATCTGCTATTTCAGGTCTTTCCAGCTGAATGCACCCTCCAACCCTTTTGGAAAATAAGAGTTCCTTTCCCTTTGACTACAACTCCCATTACACTCCTTCCAGCATGGCCAGTGGTTGCATATGGATCCCAGGAGTTGTAGTCCAGAAAGGGAGCATCTTCAAAATCTGGTTGGATTACCATCATCTCTGGAGATGATGGGCATTGTAGTGCAACACATCCAGAGGGCAAAGGAACTGATTTGTCCTATAGTGCAACTATGATGGAACAATGGTGACTCCTTCAAAGTCTTTTT